TGCGCAATTTGATTCACATCCTTGCACTATTAGTTGTCCCCGGAGCAAAACAAAATGTCTTTCCGTATATTGTTCCGTATATTGCATGTTTGGGCTAGGAAGAGAATCATAGAATATAATAGTATCCGGGAAATGGGTCTCTGGGAATTTGGAATTCGGAAAAACCGGATTCTCCCGGGTAGCCATGGAGTATTAACTATTTTTTCGCTTTGATAAACACATTTCCGTTAACCTGATAGAAATTATTGAACCTTTTAACTCAGTTAATAAACGGTCACTCAATCAAATTTCCATGTATTGAGAATACTGACAATTGTAATTGAGAATATGACTGTTGTAATAAAAATTTCAGTCGACCCGAAATTTATGGGTTTCACAGGGCTACGTACTCGTTTAAGCCTTCTGTCCGTTTAGGGGCTGTTTACATGATTCCGCTTTGCCAGGACGAGATGAGAGGCGGGATAATTTTGACTATTGATCGAATGAAATGAGTCGCAGTTCATAATTCAGTAAAACTGTATTATTTTCCTAGTGTTTTATTTGTGTTGTATTTCAGTCCCTTTAACCGGCGCTTCGTAGGGGCTTCGGTGGCGAAGTGGTTAGCGCACTTGCCTTTCACCTCTAAAGGCGGATTTCCAGTCCTCGCACGAAGCTCCTCGCAGCTCGCTGCGAGTGATTCATGAGCAATTTCATCCAATCACAATGCTAAACCGTTAATTTTAATTAGATGCAAGCACTCGCAGCGAGCTGCGAGGAGTTTGGGCGAGGACTGGAAAACCGCCTTAAGGCCGTGGGTTCAAATCTCAGTGAGAACTTCTCAATGTGACTCGAACCCAGTCCTCATGTGAAAAGAGTAATAAGTCAACGCTGTGCCGAAAGTCGTGGACCGATTTTCTCCCGGTACTCCGTGTTTCCTCCCACAGGGAAAGTTGACAGGGTGGTTTAGGCACATAGGTCCGGAGGCAGATCATTAATGAGGTATGTACTAATAGTGGCTGCTCAAGCGCCATTTCTAAGCTCAAAGACTACTGACCTCGGTCTGCTTCACGTCAGTCCGGTTCTGTCTATCTATTCATAATGTAACTAGTCACTGAAAAGCCCTGATAGGGAGTGTGCTGTGAAATATCTGTAATCTGTAATCTGTCACTCAACTTTCGTTTACTGCGGATTCAGGTTGAGTGTTTAATGACGTCACGATCATGTGAACGTCACGATCATGAGAAAAACGCGGGTGTTGTCAAGTGGCAAATTACTTGTTGCTATGAGAGAATGTCTGTAAACAAACGGTTTTTAAAATGAGGCGCGTAAACGAACATGGTCGATTATTTATGCCCGGAAAGGCTTTATCCGAAGACTAAGGTTGCTAGTAATAGGAAATATTATTAGCTGAATGGATGTGATCCCGAAACAGGAGTTTTTCCTGGACAACTCGTTGAAGTAGCACGTCCCCTTGGAATATCGTCAGCCGTTGTATCGAAAATTTGGAAAAGTTACTGCCAAGATAAAATAGTTTCTTCTAAGCCAAACACGGATAACAATGGCCTTCTTTCTTGTGTTTAATAATCTCATTATTTGAGATTTAAAGTACTTCGATGATAAGTCAATTTCAGGCCGATCTGGTTCTACTACCTTCGCTTGGTGCGGTACCTGACGTACTTCTCCCAAAACGCGCGAGAAAAAATCATCATTAGCAAGTCTTCGTTCGCTATAATTATAGGAGTTATTCGATTGTTACAATAATAATTGTATACAACCTGAATTTCAGGAAGATTATCCATATTTTTGTATTACATTGTAAATTCTAAACATATATATTCGATTCAAAATGTCACCGCTCCCTCATAGCAACAAGTATAATTTGCCACTTGACAACACCCGCGTTTTTCTGTTTCAACGTTCACATGATCGTGACGTCATTAAACGCTCAACCTGAATCCGCAGTAGGCCTATAGTGATTTATTTCAATACATCAAAATTACCCGTCTGCTATTCCGTCACAACACACCAGGAATCATGTAAACAGTCCCTCAGACTTGTTCCAAGTCGCTCAATATCGCTGTGGATTGTTTATATGAATATATTTGACATCTTAATACATGACATAACTAACATAAAGTCCCAAAAGTATGGTCCAAAACGGTCGTTTTATATGAATGTTACGAATCTAAAACGTGTTCGTACGCGAGCCCTAACGCGCATGCGCAAGCAAATACTACGCTTAAAAGTCATATAAGATTAACTATAGTGTCCTTTAACAAACTATGCATAATTCTCGACATCCTCCGGGGGGAGGGAAAGTTTCTGTGTCCAACGTGCAATTCGTTCGCGTCCTTTTACAGCAGCCTCTCTCCTCGGGCGATGTGGGGGTTCCGAGGCTGGTGGTGGTTTCTCTGATGATAGGATGGGTTTTGCTTCCTGTTTGGTTGAAACTTCGAGAGGGTAGAGACGAGCAATAGGTCGGTTGGTTCTACCAGTGCTAGTATGAATATCGGCAGATCGAATCAGTCCATCGTTTCCACTAACGAGGTTCTCAATTACGGCAAGTCTCCAGTTGGCTCTGGGACCGTCATCGTGAACTAACACAACGTCACCTTGCTTGACTTTCTGTTCGTTTGTGCCTGTTGTTTTGTGGAATTCACGAAGTGAGGTGAGATACTCGTGCCTCCACCGCCTCCAAAAGGATTGTATTATTATCGATTGTTTCCTGGCTCTTTCTCGAACTTCGGAATCGTCGTCGAAATTGGGATCGTGCAGTTCCTCTTCTTCAACGATTAGGCGAGGTAATCTTCTGACGCGTCGTCCGTAGAGAAGGTGGGAAGGTGTCAAGGGTTCTGGATCGTCGGCTTCGGATGTGACATAGGTTATAGGGCGGTCATTGAGGACAGCTTCGATCTCGACTATGATCGTTTGTAGACCCTCTAGGTTTATATATGCGCGTCCAAGGATCTTCTTCAAGGTGGTTTTGGTTAGACCAATTAAGCGCTCCCAGAATCCTCCAAACCAAGGCGCCCTTTTCGGAATGAATTGCCATTCTACTCCTCGTTTGCTGAGAGAGTCGTGCAGTGCTTGTGAATTGAAGAGAGCTCTAAGTTCGTCTGCAGCCGATAAGTAAGTTGATGCGTTATCCGAGATCATCCTTTGTGGCAACGATTTGCGACTTGCAAATCTCCTGAATGCGTTCAGAAAACACTCAGTGGATAGGTCTGTCACAATCTCTAAATGTACAGCTCTGGTTACAGCACATGTGAAGAGGCAGATGTACACCTTCGTTTCGCCATTGTTATCACGTACATAAAGGGCTCCGGTGAAGTCAACGCCGGTTGTCGTAAAGGGTTCTGTCTCGGTTGTTCTCGACTTGGGAAGTGGAGGTGGATCGGGGCGTGTATAGGCAGTCCCAGTGACCTTACGACAATTTACGCACCGTCTCAACAATTTTCTCACATACTGGCGGATGGATGGGATCCAATAGGTCTGACGTAATGTGGTCATTGTGGAGTTCACCCCACTGTGGAGTATGTTTTCATGGGCGTTGTATACGACAAGATCTGTGAAAGGATGGTTCTTAGGTAGGAGGTATGGAAACTTCGCTGACGTGCTTAATGGCGCGTTGTGAATCCTCCCGCCACAACGAAGCAAATTGTCGGTGTCGAGGAAAAGACGCAGTTGTCGTATGAGTGGTAATCTTCGGGATGTTTTGGAAGACAGGTTCTCGATTTTCTTGGGGAAGGTAGTACTTTGACAGGAATGAGTCCATATCTGCTCGGCGAGGTTCAATTCTTTCGCGGTGAGGGGTCCAGAAGTGTCACTTTTGTCTTTTCTTAGGAGAGCAATGAATCGCAGGACGTAGGCTGTAACTCGTAGTAGGTGATTCAGTTTGCTGTACTTCTCGATGTCAATGATGCGGTGTATTCCGGGTTGGCGATGTTCCGTGGGAATGCTGTCTCTTTCGAGTGCGTTGTGGTTGATTTCTTCTGATGAAATTGCTAGTGTCAGAGTAAGGGATAAGTCGGTTGAGGACCAGGTCGGCCACTTGGACTCGCACGTTAACCAAGGTGGACCCTGTTTCCAAAGGACTGAAGAACAAAGTTGGGTTGCACTTAAGCCTCTCGTAAGTAGATCCGCCGGATTATCGTTGGTTGGACAATATCCCCATGTTGCCTTGGGAAGTAGATCTTTGATTGTTTGAACACGGTTCGTGATGAACTGGCTTAGACGTTTGTTGCTGGACAACCAATGTAAGACTATTTGACTGTCCGTCCAAAGTCTCACAGTGAGGTCACTGTACATGGTAGTTGTAGCAAGTGCGTTCTTGACATAGCTGGCCAACTGTGCGGCGGTGACAGCACCCATAAGCTCGAGTCTAGGTAGGGTTAGTTTCTTCAGGGGTGCAACACGTGTTCTAGCCACAAGAATTGTGATTTGCGGACCGTGTCGGAGATAAGCAACGGCGCCATAGGCCTTTATACTTGCATCCGAGAAGACATGGAGCTCGGGCTTGGTATTGTTAGGAATGATTGTGATGGGGCATCTCGGAACGTTCATGGTCTCTGAAACAATGTCGATATCTTCGGCTATGCTTAACCACTTCTCGCTCAGTTCTTGTGAAAGTGGTTCGTCCCATTCGATATTTTGTAGCCACAATTCTTACATGAGTAACTTAGCTCTAATATTAACCGGGGATAACAGGCCCTGTGGGTCATAGATCTTCGAGGAATTGCTGAGGACTTCTCTTTTGGTCGGTAAGTTGAGGGATTGGGAGATGTGTTTAGGGGTGAGGAACAAAGTGTCTGTCAACGTATTCCACTGGAGGCCGAGAACATTAACAGTAGTTTTAGTATCAGCAGTTCCTTCTTGTAGACAGAGGCTCTGAAGTTGTGGATTGTTGGATGCCCAAGCTCGAAGGTTGAAGTTACCAGAGGACATAATGGATGTGCCGACTTGTAATAGTGGGTGACATCATTTTCTGTGGGCTGTCCAGAAATGAGATTATCAACATATAGGTTTTCTTTCATGTCGGTAGCAATCTTTGAACTGTATTGGTCGAGGTGGGATTCGAGTGCTGAGCTGAGCATTAATGGTGAGCATGTAGCACCAAACAACACAACTTTGAATCGGTAGGCTTGAAACACGCTTTCGGGATCATCAGGTTGGGAAAGCCACAGGAATCGGGTACAGTCTCTGTCATCTTCGTGGAGTTGAACATGTAGAAATGCCTTCTCTATATCGGTGGAAAATGCAAATGGGTGGGTTTGAAAGCGCAGAAGAATTGAACACATATCATTTAGCGATGGTGGCCCTGGCAGAAGACAATCATTCAAACTTGGGTGGTCTGTTGACTGGCGGCAGCTACAGTCATATACAATGCGAATAGGTGTGGTGGTAGAGTCTTTTTTTACAGGGTGGTGGGGAATGTAGTGGATCTTATCTGACATGTTGGTCGTAGACACCTTTTCAATGAATGCTTTCTCTTCTTGTTCTGCAATGATGTCGCTATAGGTCTTCAAGAGTTTGGGGTCCTGTCCAAGGCGACGAGCTAGAAGTCGTGTTCTCTTCGCACATACAGCGTAGTTGGATGGTAGTGGGCGATACTCAGTCCTCCATGGAAATCTTGCACAATAAGTGCCATCAGGAGAGCGAGTGATGTTAGTTTCCTTGAAGTTCCCAATCGCAGTCTGGTCGTTGGTTTCTGTGGGGGTCATTAACAAATCTAAGGGTGGTGGATCCCA